CTGTATAGGGCGAAACCTGCAGAACTACCAAAGCCATCATCCAGAAAATACAGGTGTTTATTAACAGTTGTCTACACAAAATACTTCAGATCCGTTGGCCGGACACTATTAGCAACGACCTACTGTGGGAGAGAACAAACCAGATCTCAGCGGAGGAAGAATCAGGAAGAATCGCTGGAAGTGGATAGGACACACATTGAGGAAAGCACCCAACTGCGTCACAAGACAAGCCTTCACATGGGATCCTTAAGGCCAAAGGAGGAGAGGAAGACCAAAGAACACATTACGCCGAGAAATGGAGACAGACATGAGAAAAATGTACAAGAATTGGATGGAGCTAGAAAAGAAGGCTCAGGACAGAGTGGGTTGGAGAATGCTGATCGGTGGCCTATGCTTCATTGGAGTAACAGGCGTAAGTAAGTAAGTACTAAGTCAGCATATTTAGTTAGTTTAAAGAAATAGATGTAAGAGAATTCATTTGGACATGTGATTTACTTATTAAAAGCCTGTTATATCGCCGATAAGCATAATGAATGGTAATGAATGGTATTACATTTGTTATAATTTCGTTATTCACTAACACAAATGAAGTCGATCAATTACATACGACGGTAGCTGACATATGAATGTATTCATTAAAGCCTTATGACAATTAATTTCTAATTTATCATTTGAAGCTAGATCATCATGGAAAAGCTAGAAGCACGGAATGGCCGTTTCGTCCTATTATCTGACTACTCAGCTGTACACAACCACGACATTGCCTCGCAAGATTCAAACCCATGACCTATCAGTTACGCGAATGAGCGCTTAATCATTAAACCACTGAGCCAGCCGACATCCAATGGTGTTAATGTCTAACTTTAACTAATCCACGAAATTAAGCAACACATCCATCATTGTCATTAGTGAGTTACTGTTTCACAATAGACATGGTTGAACTCCATTGATCACGGTTTCTCATTAGAACTAGAACAAGACAAAAGGCCGTCCAGTGCTTCCAGATTTTCCATGGTGGTCTAGCTTCAATTGATTCATGATCTCAACTATTAAAATTACTATAATATCCACAAGAAACCCCTTCGAATATATTTATGTATATATATCTTAAATGAATTTCCTGTTTTTTAGTGCAATCTATATATCCCTAATTCATTAAACTGTTAATATTGAATAAATGGTATGTTCATTTAGATGTAATTAGTTCTTTTTTCATATTTTATGTGATCCTGTAATTTAGGAAATCATTTATGAACAAATAAATCATTGAATTAATATTAAAACAAACAAACAAACCTGGAAGTAATAGATGGCTATTACATCCTATGATGGAACTCCTCAGCAGTGAGCATCCATGATCTCGCTTCACAATATTCTTCATCCAATACTTCCAAGTATTCGATGATTGTCTAACTTGAATTGATTCATGATCTTAACTATTGAAATGACTATAATCTCCACACAAAACCCCTTCTGAAATGAATTATCTATCTATTATTCAGTTTTCTATCACTTATGACCTACTTACTTTACTTACTTACGCCTGTTACTCCCAATGAAGCATAGGCCACCGATCAGCATTCTCCAACCCACTCTGTCTTGAGCCTTCTTTTCTAGCTCCATCCAATTCTTGTACATTTTTCTCATGTCTGTCTCCATTTCTCGACGTGATGTGTTCTTTGGTATTCCTCTCCTCCTTTGGCCTTAAGGATTCCATGTGAGGGCTTGTCTTGTGACGCAGTTGGGTGCTTTCCTCAATGTGTGTCCTATCCACTTCAGCGGTTCTTCCTGATTTCTTCCTTCGCTGAGATCTGGTTTGTTCTCTCCCACAGTTGGTTGTTACTAATAGTGTTTGGCCAACGGATCCGAAATATTTTGCGTAGACAACTGTTAATAAAACTCTGTATTTTCTGGATGATAGCTTTGGTAGTTCTGCAGGTTTCTGCCCTATACAGTAGAACTGTGTTGACAATTGTATTGAAAATCCTGACCTTGGTGTTGTTTGACAGTTTCTTTCGAGTTCCAGATGTTATTCAGTTGTAAATATGCTGCTCTTGCTTTGCCGATCCGCGCCTTTCATCTGCATCAGATCCACCCTGTTCATCAATGATGCTGCCCAGATATGTTAATGGTTTTTACATCTTCCAAATCTTCTCCCTCAATTGTGATTGGATTGGTGCATGTCTGTGTTGCATCTGAGAATCTTGCTTTTTCCCTTTGTGTAGATTGAGACCTACTGCTGCTGAAGGCTACTGCCACACTGTTCGTCTTCTCCTGCATTTGTTGTTGCGTTTGGGATAGAAGAGCCAGATCATCTACGAAGTCCAGATCGTCAAGTTGCATCCTAGATGTCCCACTTATGACCTAGTTATATACAAATGATAGTTTCTTATTTATGGTACATAATGATCATGTAGTTAAATTACATAGACAATGTAGGTGTATATATATATATATGTGTCTTCGTTGTTCTATTCAAGTTTGTTCATAGTTCACTTATTCTGACTAGACATTAAGAATAAATGGAGTAATGTGGACTAACAGGGGATTATGATATTTTGCTCAGTATCAATGATCCTTTTGTATTATTGGTAAAAAAATATGAAAGTTTGATTGTTTTCAGTGAACTCTTTATTTTAGTGAATTATGTAATTGATTCAAGTAGACCTTTACATGACACATAGAAAATGGAAGTAATAATAGGATTATGTTATTAAAACAAATAAATGGGCAAGACTCTAATAAATGAATGAATAAATGAACCAATCAGATATAAGAAAAAAAAAGATTTCGAATGTTTTGGCGCGAAATTCACTCATCTATTTGAATAAATACAACTTTAGTATTATAGGTGATATCAGTTCGTAATGAAAACCCTAAATCTAATTCGTTATCTTAATCAGTAATTTTAAATCATAATTCTAATTCCTCATACAGATTCATCATTCTCAATTTAGATCTTGGTTATAAGGTGAACAATCTGATGATTAGCCGAATGTCGCTCAAAGGACATCGTTCACGACAAAAGTAGTTGATCAACTCATTGATTTTTCTTATTGTATAGGATAAATCAAAATGATTTGAACTTTGAACAGTGATTGTCAGAATAACGTAAAACATCACTTGAATCATTATAAACATTTACATTGTAAGTTTGTCAAACAATGAATTAGTTTAGATGATTTGATCTTCATAGCATCAAACGAAGTAACCAACAATAATGTCTTATGTGAGAATCTTGAGTTAACTAAATACATTATGAGTAATTTGTTTAAGATGTGTCACAACTATTGGTGACAAAGCTTCAATTTGTCAATTGATTGTAACATGTTTGATGGATTTTCACTACTTACTGCTATCAGTCTATGATAATGAAAGTTAAAGTATGCAGAATTGTAT